GAGGGCTGGCCCCGTGTGCCCCCCCACCCCCATCAGAGAGGCCTCCTTGGACTCCACCTAAGCAGTACCCTGCTCCTTGACTCCATGGGTTCTGCCACTCTTTATCTCATGCCCTGATTCCTCTCCTCAAGCTTGTCTCCAGCTGGTACATATTTATACATGGGATGAATATTGACATATAGATAGATAGATAGATAGATAGATATGAATGATATGTAATTTCCTATGGGACCATGAGAGCAGGGGTTTCTTGTTTTGCCCATTGCCATATCTGATTTGTTTACAGCAGGGTGGCCTAGGAGGGTACTTGGTAAGCAATAGCTGGATCCATCGCTAGACATTAGGAGACGAGGTGGCTCCACTGCTGGGGGTTACAAACATAAATAACCCTAAACAAGTCGATCATTTCTTTGGGCCTCAGGTGACATTTCTGCAAAAAGGGGCCGGGCACAGTGCCTTTCCTACCTCACCTGATTACCACAGTGGTCACAGAGCACCAGCTGCCAAGTGCTTCGTTGTTAACTGAGGCGCTGTGCAGATTCTCAGTGGGGCTGTTCTTCCCAGGCACGCAGCCTGCATTGCTGAACCACACTCAGAAAGGAACCGTTGTAACTGTTGAACCCATAATCTGAGATAAGTCCCCACCCATAGAATGGGGTGCCTGTGCCACTTGTACTCAGCGACAGTCAGCAACACAGCTGCGAGAGGAGATGGGGAGAGAAGGCAGAAATAGCAACTCTGCTGAGCGCTCCCAGTGGAGTGTATGTGAACGGCCACCTTCATGGCATGCAGGGGACACTCAACAGTGTTAGCCCCCCAGCCCCTGCCTTCCTTGGCCCCTTTGCCACCTTCCTTCCTGAACACTTCAACTCCTGACTGTTAACCCTGAGACAGAGGAAGCTATTGGCCCACAAACATGCAGATCACTGGTTCTAGACAAGCACTGAACCTCTTGAGAACTCAGTCTATAAAGGGATGTTATTAGCCATAGAAATGAATATACAAAGGCCTCATATACCACAACATGGTTGAACCTTGAAGACATAATGTTAAGAAGCCAGACATTAAACTTCACGTATTATGTGATGCCATTTACAAAAAATGTCCAGAATAAGCAAATTCAAGATGGAAAGTAGCTTTATGGTTCCCAGGAGATGAGGGGAGGGGGACAAAGGGAGTGGGTACACTAATGGGTACAAGGTTTCTCTGTGGGATGATGGGAATGTGGGCACAGCACCCTGGCCTGGGTGCTATTAGCACAAGGAAGATATGGTGCATCTGGCAGCTGGCAGATTTGAGACTGTCACGATGTTTACATTGCTTTTAATTTCTCACTAAATCTGATCCCCACTTTTTTTCCTTTCCCCTTTCTCTAAATAGTATTCATATCTTTAAAGGGCTCAAGGATTGAACTTGATCTGCTTGCAGGTTATGATGGTCATAAACATTGCCTGTGGGATGTGTTGACCAGCAGCATTCTGACAGCAGCATGGAGTTGGGGGCGGGGTGTTCACGGGGGCGCTCTTTTTTTCTTGGCTCAGTGTTCCTTGTGCCTAGGCTTCTGGACGAATGCTTTTGCTGCACCCCTGGCTGGCTCCTGCAGGCGCTGGAGCTGACCTCCCTTGAAGAAACCCAGCTCTGAAGGAAAGGCTGCCCATGTTGGGCTCTCTGACAGCTGCCCTGCTACACCTCTGCCACAAAGCCACCAGTTTCTGGAGTCCACTGTGAGGTGTTTCAACTTCCAGAGACAGCCTGGAGGTGGACAGGAGCTGGGCTAGGTTTCTCCCCAAGCAGAGACTCAACTGCTCTGGGCATGAATGGCTGGGGAGGGGCCAAGGGAGACACAGCTTCCATGGTGTGGTTTCTTGACCTAGGGCAGGAGAAGGCCCAGTGTGCCTCATGCCTTGCCCTGAAACAAAGACCTCTGTAATCCTACTCCATTCTGCTCACCCAGTCTCACCTCTGATAGACCATGAAGAACTCACACCATATTCTAATCTACCAAAGCCTTGGCACTGCAAATCACACCCATCTCAATCCATCTATTCCCTCTTGACTCCATTTTACAAATGCATGGAAGCCACTGTCATGTACTGTTGGCTGCTAAATCAGCCTCCTGACAGATTTGCACAATCACTGTGGCTGCCCCATAAGCCATTATGTATGCTTTGCTAACTCTAGTTTGCTTTTTTGTTTTTTGTTTTTTGAAGTCACTCAGACTCATTACTCAAACTACAGATGTGTTGTCCAGTACCACCAGTGTCAGCTGAATTATTAGAAATGCAGAATCTCAGGCCTCATCCCAGACCCTTCTAAGCAGAAAGAGCATTTAAAATTTAAAAATTTTAAAAAGGGGCTTTACTTTCTGGAGTAGTTTTGGGTTCCTATCAAAGGTGGGTGGAAAATAGAAACGATTCCATAGACACCCTCCCCTCCGGCTCATAAACTCCCTCCCTTCAGCATGCTGCCCAGAAGGGGCATTTGTCATAATTGATGAGCCTGTGTTGACACATTATTATCACCCAAAGTCCAGAGTTCAGAGTTCACTCTTGGTGGTATTCATCCTATGAGTCTTAAAAATTTATAATGACTTATATCCATCATTATAGTATTATGCAAAATAGTTTCACTTCTCTAAAAAATCCCCTGTGCTAGAAACTGCATTTCAACAGTTTCCCAGGCAATTGGTATGCATAATTAAAGTGTGCACAGCTCTGGGATAGACCAGGCCACTCCCTTGCCTAGGGCTCTTCCACAGCCTCTCAGTGCTCTTGAACACAACTCAGATTCTTAGTGGGATGCAAGACCTGGGGACTCTGGGCCACCTCCCTCCCAGCCCCTCACACTCTACCACTGTACAAGAGCAGGTCCTGGCTCATCAGTGCTCCTCGAATGGAGAAGACAGCACTGCCTCTGACAGCCCCTCTTCTTCGCCTTCAAAATCCTCATCTCTGTGTTGGTCACACAGTCATTCCAGTGATTACTGGATTACTTTTCTTCTTCCTCCCAATAACCACAAGTTCCATGAAAGTAAAAGCCATGTCCATTTTGGTCACAGATTGTCCCCAAGGCTGAGAAAAATGTCCTGTGCACAGGACATGCTCAATGCTTGTTGAATTCAATGGTTCAGCAAAAGAATAAACATTCCCATTAGTGTTCATCACCTTAGGCCTTAGCCCTGGTGGGGGCCCCACCCACAAATCTGTTCTCATCCATTCACCTTCATCCAGTCAGCTCCAGCTGCTCCTGCTAACCTGGTCCCTCTTTTCCCAGATCCGGGGGCTTTTAGTCAGGAGTGAGCACTTCATTGCCTTTTGCTTGTTTTTTGGTTTTTTTGGTACCGGGGATGGAACTCAGGGCCTGGCAATTGCCAGGCAGGCAGCAGCACCACTGAGCTCAACCCCCAGCCCTGCCCTTCGCTTGTTTTGTGTGGGGTGATGTTGCTTTTCCCAACTGACATAATCAAACCACTTTGAAGGCAAGAACTCTAGGCTCAGCTTCTGTGGCCCACCTGGCGCAAAGTGAATGTTCAGCTCGCAGATTGCTTTGCTGACTCAGCAACACTAAACTCTGGATGTGGCTGCAGAATACCTGGCTTTCCTTAACTCCTTCTTTAGCACCTAATCCTCTCTCTGCTTCCCTCTGACTCTAATTTTCCTGGTACAATTATAAAATCTTCATTTAATTTTTTTAATATTTTCCTTCTCCTCTATAGTGCCCATTCCCATTTCTGAGTTTAAGCTCAATATTCAGTTTCCTTGTAACACTTCACTTTGAGAGTGCTTCTCCAACTTCCCAGAAGAAAACTGTACTTTTGTAACTCTGGGCCTGTAATGTAACTGTCAAATGTATACAAAATCTGATGTGAAAATCGGGAAACTTGAGCCCTGCTTCTCTTGCAGGTTTTACAATTCAGAACAAAATTTAAAACTACCATCACTGCAGGCAATCTGTGTGCCCCATCCCTGTTGCTTTTCCCTTCTGTCTCCCCTTATCACATTTTGATAATCCGGGCAGTTTTTAAATGAGCAGCTTTAAGAGGATCTGTTGACCATTTGGAGATTGACACCCCCAGCCTCCTCTTCATTTTAAAGCAGCCAGGATGGAAACAACTACATAGAAAGCAGATCTTTTTATTTTCTCACTTAAAAAAATGAAAACAAATCTTATCCTGCCAGTGGAATGAGCCCCAGCTTTCGTGACATTTCCCCATGTGCAACACCTTAAGATAACCTGAGCAGGAACAAGTGTCCTTAGAAGTCAAAGTACTCTGCTGGAAACATAGGAAATGCTTATGTAGTCAATTAAAAATAACTAAAAAATTCATGCTAAAACAGATAACACTTAATGTTAGATATCAATGTTGACAAAGGATATCAGCCCCCGAAGTATAAAAATAAATATTGCAAGATTTAACGTTAAAAATAATCATATTTTGGGGCCAGGGATTTAGCTCAGTGGTTCTGCCACCTGCCTCGCAAGCACAAGGTCCCAAGTTTGATCTCCGATACCAAAAAAATAAATAAAATAAAATAAAAATATCATATTTCTCATCTACTCCCCAACCTCCTTCAACTTATAAAGATCATCACTATGGAATTAGGGAGGCAGGACACATCAGGAGTTGTATCCTAGACATGGAATTTGGAAACCAGACCACAAGGCAACAGCAATCCCTGTCACATCACAACATGTAAAGAATACCTTGTTCGTGGACAAGGTCACAGCTCTAAACTGTTGTTCGAAATCATTTTATGGTTTTGTTAAAATAACACTGAGCCTACCCCTTCCTTGAAGGCCTAGGCTCCCAAGGTAACCTGGCTACTAATTTTCTGTGTGACCCTAAACTCTTTAGACCACAATATTCTCGGCCCTAAACTGTGCTGGGAACATGGTGAAGGTCTTTCCGGTTCACAAGGTGGCTGATGGCAGCACAGAGAACAGCAGCACCACCTTTCTCTTAGACCCAGGACCCACGAAGCTTCCTGAAAGTTGCTTACCTGAAGCCAAGTACAAAAGGCCAGCCAGCACCAGCAGCCGAGAGAGCATGAGGTGTGGTACTCCCTGCCTCAGTGCGTGATCCATGGAGGCAGATGCTTAGGACAGAGGAAGGAAGCCAACAATTTAGAGCCAAGGAGGACTGGAGCGCCACCTCGGAACACGAAAGGAGCGTGAACAAGGCAGCAGAGACACCTGTGTGATACACTTGAGGCAGAAGTGGAAGACAATTCAATCACTCCATATAGGTGACTCTCCTGTGTGCTGGTTACAAAACACGCCGAGGAGAGGTTGGGTAGCGTTCCTGGGTCTCCAAAGGTTGTAGATTTATTTTTTATGATCTGAAAAAGGAAAATAATATGTCATCCCAGAAGGAAGGTCTGCCTACTATGGTCAGAAAGATTCTCTTGTTGCTCACTTAAAATGAGTCAGTGCTCCAAACTCAAATGACCTCTAAAGCAGGGCACAAGAGAAAAAAGCAAGGAAGTGACTGTACCCAGTCACCTTGGCTTTTCTGAGAACCAACTATAGCTCTCCATGAAGTGGCGGCCTGCTACAGTTTACTTGGTTGGGAACACAGAGGCCCCAAGGACCCTCTGTGTCAGTGAGCCAACCCTAAGAGTCAGGTCCTCTGTGGACACACCAAGGACACAGAGCAACCAGCGAGGGCGGGTTTGTCCAAGGCAGCCCTTACGTTATGAAAACTTTCTCAGTATATATAACCCAGGAAAACCAGGGCCTTGACTCTTAAGTAACCTCAACTCAAACAGAGGGTACTAAATGGGGTAGAGGATTTCAAAAAACATCATCTACCAGTAAAAAGGGAGAAAAGAGAAGACACAGTGAGACTATACTTATTTATATCATTTAATGCAATCTGACGAGGCTTTTTCCCAGTAAAAATTATCAATATTGAAAAACGAAAATGAATGCTGTACTCTACTGTCACCCCTTCCGTCAGTCGGCCACCAGCCACACAGTCCAGAACTCACCAGATGTGTGGGCGTCCTTGGAGCTGCCCCAGAGTAAGTGTTTCAGCCACACCAGAGAGATTGTTTCATTAGTCTCAGTCCATCTGAACCACGATGAGCTCAGAAGGACTTCGCCACCAGAATTACGTTGATTTGAAAAACTCAAACTCACTCTACAAAAATATTTGCTACCATCTAGGAAATTTAAAAGTAATGGGCCACAATTCTGATGGTAATTCTCTGAAAGTATTGGGAAGCCACAGCCTCCTTTAGGAATAAGAGACCTCAGAAGACTCCTCTGAGGGAAAGCATGCATGCTGGAGGGATGGTATGTTTGTTTAAAAAGCAGTTGCTTTACATGTACTTGGAGGGCCAGGGATTTAGCTCAGTGGTGCTGCTGCCTGCCTTGCAAGTGAAAGGCCCCGAGTTCAATCCTTGGTACCAAAAAAAACCAGTTGCTGGGCATGGTGGCACATGCTGGTAATCCCAGCTCCTCAGGAGGCTGAGGCAGGGGGATGGCAAGTTTGAGTGTATGCCGCAAAACTTATGGAAACCCTGTCTCAAAATATAAAAGGAGCTGAAGAAGTAGCTCAGTGGTACAGTTTGCCTGGTATGCTCAGGATGTGGGTTCCCTCCCTAGTACCAAAGCAGGGAAAGAAAAGCAGTTATTTTGTTGGTAACTAGTTCTACTAACCTATCCCACAGTGAGGTAAGAGCAGATGTACTTACTTGCTGAAGAAAAATTCCTCTTTTTCTTTTGTGTTAAGAATCAGGGGATGATGCCCCCCTTCAGAGATGTTCTCTTCTTGCTGTCTTCAGAGTACTGACAGGTCACTTAGCAGAGAGCTGACATTTCTCCCTTCTTACTTCCCCTTTACTTTGGATTTGAGGATTTGAGTTCACTCAGAAATATTTCAGTCAATTCCGGGACTCGGTAGCGCGCTGTCATGGTTTGAGGAAGCTCTCTCTGCTCTGAGTCCTCTGTCACCTCATGAGAGGGTGTGGTCCCGGGCAAGTCACAGCAAGCCCTCCTTTACCCCTGCCCCAAGGAGCAAGCCAAGTGCTGAGTGCACAGGCACCTGGGGTGGGGGGGGGGCACCCAGTAGAGGGAGGGCGCCCACCAGCTCTGCCTGGGCAGTGGTGCAGGAGCTTTATGGGCTGCCTGTTTCCCTGCTGGCCTCAAGTTTTTGTTTGTTTGCCTTGTTTGGTGCTGGTGATTAAACTCAGGAAGCTCAGAGCTACATACCCAGCCTTTTTATTGTTTTTACTTTGAAACAAAGTCTCCTGAAGTTGCCTAGATTGGTCTCAAACTTGCAATCCTCTTGCCTCGCCCTCCGGAGTTGCGTCAGATTACTACTACTGTGTGTGTGCCACCATGCCCAGCTTTAAATTTTGTTTTCATAGCCATTGTTACCCGTTCCGGGTCACTGTCAGACCACTGCGGGAGTAGGCCATTACTGCATATGTAGTGGACACATGGAGAAAGCTTAGCTCCTAGATCACCCCTAATTACATAGGCACCCCCTCCCTGTCATCTTTACAGAATGGGCACAGTCGAGTGCACTTTGGGTGAGCACGGTGACAGCACCCAAGGGTAAGGTGGGGAAGATTTTCATTCCTCCATCCCTCTTTCCAGCCACCTGCCAGCCTCTGTGTAGATTTGGCAGGAGCCACAGACACACAGTGGGCACAGGGAGAGCTGGATAGCCCCTCACTGGGCCTGCATGGCTCCTGTCTTCCTCCAGCCCTGCCCAGAGGTTCTCTGTTGCCTTGGCACGAGGAGACCATTGGAAGTTCTGCAGGTAGGCAGGTGTAGCTCAGACGTGCGGGGAAGCTGGCTGAAAGGGGACAGATAATGCTTTCCCCCAGTGGGGTCGGTACCCACTGCTGTAAGCAGCTGTGGACAGAGTAAGGCACCTCATACCGGCTCTCCTCCTTCCCAGTCCTGTTTCTCCATCCTGGATCACTGGTCTTGAGTGGCTAAATCAACAGTTTCCCTTAGGTCTTGGTCCCTGCTTTCCAGAAAATCAGACCAAGGCCTTGTACTTGGTTAGAGATACAATAGTTTTCCTTCTAAGGTACATTTGTAGAACTAATAAGGTGAATTTAGAGGAAAAAAAGAGAAAATAATAGTAGATACAGTATGTGAATATGATGAATATGTTATAGAAATGTCTACATTTTTGAACTAAAGCTATTACAAAACAAATTTTCCTGGGGGCGAAAAAAACCACAATTTAAGAGGCTACCCATCCAGCATTTCTTAAGTGTTATTGAAAGTCACTGAGATCTCATAAAATGAAAATCTGACCAGAAGAAATGACAGAGTTGTGAAACCTGTGAGTATCCCTAGATCAGGGAACAGTGCAAATCATCTAAAGGAAGGGAAGGAAAAAATAAAGGCCTTCCCATGCCAGGCCTGGGCTTAGACTCTGATCAGGCCTGAATGCATCCCAAGCTTCTGCAATAAGATAAATCATCTGCACGGAGTAAGGGGCAGCACACAGGATGTGAAGATGTGTCCAGTGGGAGCATCACTCCTCCAGGCAGCCTGCAATGCACGCCCTTCCTGGCCTCAAGATGCATTCACTGGGTACCTCCATCCCTGTGGACACCCAGACATATATGGTATATGGCACTGATGATCTTAAAAGAATCAATTCCAGTCCCCCCCCCCTTTTTTCACTTTCCTAAAACTTACCTACAGTGAGAAGGATTCTGGCCTACTCCCTATTTTAAAAGAAAGGCTTACCTCTTATCTAACCTATTTTTCTTTTTTTTTTTTTGGTACCGGGGATCAAACTCAGGTCCTTGCGCTTGCGCAGCAGGCGGCGAAACCACTGAGCTAAATCCCCGGCCCATCTAACCTATTTTTCTGGAAAGTAAAATACTTCAACATGTCAAGTAAAGGGGCAATTTAAAATACTAGTGTTTTAATCAATGTGGTCTTCTCAGAAATAGCTCAAGGTAGGGCCTTGTGGCCTCCAATTTTGTCCATATTTCTATTAGTTGAAATGTGGCACTAGAAAGAGATATATTCTATAGTGGAGTGATGGGTGTGGTGGCAGCTTTGCCTCCTACTTTCCGTCTTGTCACAGACATTGACACTCTGAGAGCCGCCAGAAAGGAAGCAAGGAGGTCACGAGAGAGAACACAAGCCCATGGCAGGGCTCAGGAGAAAACTGTTCTATCTGCCTCAGATTGGGAATTTCCAAACTTTGAACACAGACAAAACTTGCTATCACTGCAGGTCTCTGCATCTTCCCTTTCTTTCTTTGGAGAAGGTTCTTAAATTAGCATCTTTATTCACCATGACTAGGCCTGGGTCTCAGTTGCAGAATTTGAATAATAACAAGGAGAAAGGATGTAACAACTTCCGCCCCCACCTCTACTAGATCAACAGTACATTTTCGAGTAGAGGGCATCAGTATCAGAGATGAGTTTTATATCTTCTTCAACATTTATCCAGACCTTAGAAGAAATGCTTTCTCTGGTTTTTGCCAGTTTTGCTACTTTTGCTTCTAGTCAATATATTGAAGAGTGCTGTAAATTTTTTCAAAAATGATAATATTACAATAAACTGGAAGTTACATCCTTTGCAGATATTTAAAGTAATATAAAATTGTAAGTGTTCACTTAAAAATGAGCAAAGAAATACCTAGTTTTATGAATTTCATTTGGGGATATATGAGCAAAAATTTCTGAAGAATACAAGATGCACTCAAGTTTTAAGAGTTCCAGTAAAATTCTAACCTGCTTTGGAGAAGCACACAAAAAACAAACTGCTCTCAGCACCTTGGTGTGAATTAACCGGAGAGATGGGAAAGAGAGGGCACCAGGCAGGTTCTTTATTGCTGCTGCACATGAAGCACACCACACCCTCCGCTGTCCTCTGGATATGAAGTAGGTTCCTGGTTGTAAAACATGGAAGGCTTCTCTTCCAAATCTGGCACTAACAAGATGTGTTTTAACCCCTTTTCTTCCTGAGATCCCACTAAATTAATATTTTTAAAATTAAAGGTATATTCTGATTATAATGAGAATAGAATAGTCCGCGGAGCAAAGATTTCTGGGGTATACTTCCAGGGAGAGGTGGAGGTGATGGATGAGACAGAATAAAGGGACCAAAGCCTGAGGTCTTACACTATCAGAAGGAGAAAGTAGCTGGGACAATAAAAAGGAGGTTTTTTGTGTGGGGAGCAGGCATGTAGCTAGAGGAACAGAGCAGGTCTTCTGGTTCTCAGTGTAACTTCTTCAGCCCCATTGACATTTTATTTATTTTTATGTATTTATTTATTTATTTTTGGTACTGGGGATTGAACTCAGGACCTTGCACTTTCAAAGCAGGCGGCGGAACTACTGAGCTAAACCCCAGCCCCCATTGACATTTTAATCCATTTATAGTTTTACTTTAATAAAAAACAAAAGAAATTATGCCCTAAGTTTTTATGGAAAAATTAAAGGTATATGTTTATATGATTTTTTTATAATTCTACAGTGAGAGAGCGAGATAAAAAAAAACCTGGAAGATGAAAAACAGAAAGATACATAAATTTGACTTCATCACTAGTAAAAATATTTATACAATGAAATAAGAAAAAAAGAAATTCAGAGACTGTTCCGGTCTGGGTGAATGGAGAGGACCCCGCTGGAAGGGATGGTGAACAGGACATGTCCGCGGCCTCTCCTCTGTGGAAGCCTTGAGGTTTTGAACCCACAGAATGGCAGGGGAGCCCCGCACTCTGCTGTGCCAAACTGCGCGGCAGCTCTACGGATGATGCTCACTGTTTCCTCTCTTGTCCTTGGGATGTTCCACTTCCTCTTGCTGAGAAAGCCGGGTTGAACCCACTGGCAGCACGGGGCTGGCTCTGGCAGAGGCCTCTGGATCCCTGTGAGTTTCATTGGTTTGCACATTTAGTACTCAGGGTCCCAGGTGCTTTTCCACAGGGGATCACTGTTGCCAAGGAAACAAAACTCACCACGGCACTGACAAAATATTTCAGATGGGTTTTGCTTTTCATTTTGAATGCAATCTCCCCATGGGGTCTGGAAATTTATCTTGGGGCATGGCTGTGGCTGAGGTGGTGAGGAGTCACAAGAAGCTTGTGGTCACAGTTTCCAAAGTCCATGGAACATGGCCAGTTCTCTACAGCCTCTCAGAGGAGGGTGACACCCCCCAACCCTCTGCAGTACTAGGGACTGAACCCAGGGCTTTCACACTGAACTACATCTCTAGTCCTTTATTATTTTTTAGTTTTCAGGTAGGACTTCACTACATTGCCCAGGCTGGGCTCAAATTTAGAATCTTCCTGCTCCAACCTCCCAGACAGCTGGGATTTCAGGTGTGTGGAAATTTCCTCTTTTACCCAGGCACGACTGTGAGACCTGCACCCAGCGCAAAGTGGCCACGCTGTAAGACCACAGTGCTTCTTAGTAGTCCCACAGCTGGATAAGCTGGCAGAGAGGACCAGTCACTCCTTTCTTCCTCTTACAATACTGTCACACTCTAGTTCTTTGAAATGGAAACCACTGAAATGCTTCAAATGAAAAGAGAAGTGGACATTTGGAGCTAACCCTGTTCCAGCTGAGAGTTTTATGTTGCCCATTGTTTGCTCTCCCTCCTAGAGTTGACTGTCCTTTCTTGCTGCAAATCTTGACATACTGTCCCTGAGCTCCCTAGATGTTCCTTCTCTCTGTCCATCAAACATCTGTCTTCCTTAAGGGGCCAGACCTAAGGCCACTCTCTGAAGCAGCTTTCTCAGACTCTTTTCCTTGTCTGCTCTCTCCACTCTGAGCTCTTAACATGTGCACCACTACAATTTTCCCAAATTTACTGAGTACCTCTGTGTGCTTGCAGCAGCGCTCAGCACTGGGGATGCAGAGGGCTGGAATAGGAGAGATGAGAATAGGTGGACAGATCCAAAGAAAAAGAAATGAGCAACAGCAGAAAAAGTCCAGGGCAACTAGCCAAATATAAGTCTGCACTAAAATGGCAGCAAGATATTGTGAGGTGGAAATATGACTCTGCGTGGATTATTTCTACATGAACCTAGATCTGTATTGAAATATTACATCCAGTTTCAAACTAAATGTAGAAAATGGAAAGGTTCTGAAGAAGAGCAATAAGTAATAACTAAAAGGATGCTAAACTGGGCAACCTAGAAAATAGAGAAAAGGAGAGTTCAGATCCTTGAGCTGGCCATTACTCTTCTTGATAAGGCTATGGCACTGACATAAGGTGTTTCTATTTGTTTGAGCTTATAATACACAACTAAACTGGAGGCTATCACTTGAAATTAAAGCAAGAGAAATGTTGGCTGTGTTTAAGGAAGAATTTTTGTGATTAAACTGGAAAGGGTAACTTTCAAATAAAGTTGCAAAGTTTTGTTGCCTGATGCTTTAAGAAAAGAAGACAGTGGGCTGGGGGTGTAGCTCAGTGGTAGTGCATTTGCCTCGCATGCAGGAAGGCCTGGGTTGTCTCATTTCCAGTAAGGCAGGAGGGAGGAGGGAGGCGGGAGGAGGGAGAGGGAGAAAAGATCTTGGGTCCACAAGAACTGGGGTTTCTTTCTGCCCTGAAACTCAGGCAAACCTCATATGATTGCAGGACTTTGAGGCCTTGAGTCACTGTAGCAATTGGCCACCACCCCACCCCAGTCCATAAAAACGGACAAAGTTACAGAAGTCACTTTTTTAGTTTTCTATTTCATTTTCCCCAAGAAACAGATGATGATCAGACAGAGGAGAAAGTCAGAGTGTTATGGCTTGGGTTTAGATGTTTCCCCAGAGCCTCAAGCTTTCTCAGAGGTGGCTGAATCTAGAGTGTGTGATTGACTCAAGGTGGGGGTTAGGCCTGAGGGCCCTAGGATGAAGGGTGTGAGTGCTACCTGCCCTAAGTAGTCTGAATAAGATAAAAGGGGCAGAAAGACTTTGTTAAAGTCCCTGTTGCTTTTGCTATCTTCCCCTGGCATGAACTGTTGCCTCTCTGCCACTCTGCCTTGGAGCCAGGCAATTACGGACTGAAACCTCTAAGAACTATAAGCCGAATAAACTTTTTCTCTTTAACTTTGTGTTATTGTGTCTCAGCAACTAGAAAAGAGTAATACACAGAGGTTCCTTAGTGCTCTCAAGGCAAGATAGTGTGGGCATGGTAAATGCAGGTTACTGTGTCCTGCACAAGCCTGTTGGGGATTTCACCACAGGGTATGACTTACTAAGCTACTGATTAATTCCCGAAATGAAGTGAGCTCCTTTCTCTCCTCCTTCCTCTCCATCCCTATCTCTCTCTTCTCCCTCTCCCCTCCTTCTTCCTTCTTGCACATTTTTCTGAAAAATAAACCAGACAGTTACCATTTCTTTATTACTCACAGAACAACTATCTTTAACAAAAGGTCATGGATGGGCCGGGGATTTACCTCAGTGGTTCCGCCTGCCTTGCAAGCACAAGGTCCTGAGTTTAATCCCCAGTTCCAAAAAAAAAAAAGGTCATGGTTTCTAGGTTTCAAGGAAAGGAGAATTTAATTCTGTTCAGCGAATTGAAGAGAAATTGCATGGCTTGAATGGAAAAGGGAATTTCCCTTTCTCTAACGCTTCCTAGAAAGGGCAACATTTAAAGCATAGCTTGCATGGACACATCTGGCAACTGCTTGAATATGAGAAAGAAACTGACCATTTGAAAACCCTGTAGAAGGGCCCCATGCCTACAGCAACCACACCAGAGGAACCCACTGGAGCGGAGAGAACCTTCTCTGCCTGCTCATGTTCAGTATCTCCTGAGCCCTGAGCCAAATTCTCCATGGCCACTCAGGGCAAGCTGAGTGACTCCTCCTGTGGCCCAGACACAACTAGGAAACCTGCCTAAACTGCCTGCTATTGCCCATCACCGGTTGTCCTGTGTGTGGATACCACCCTAAGCTTCAGGGGCTCTCTCCAAAGAGCGGTTTTTGGAAGGTGCACCAGAGACCACAGGATAGGGACTGACACCTCCAAAGGAGAAGGAGTTGACTGGGAAGGCAAGATCAAGGCAAGACTGGTCCTGTGTTCTAACCCTTGTCCCCAAGACTCTTCTGGAAACAAATGAGACAGATTCACATAGCTGACTCCAATGGAGGGATTGTGGGAAGAGAATAACTCCAACAAGGCTCCCTACATTATTTGGCTGGAGGAGTACTTTTCATTTCCTGGATGCTGTCCCTTGAGACCCCAGGGAAGTCCCTTGGTTTGGGTCTGTGGGCTGGAGCATCCAAGGTCTGTCCCAAGCCTAGAGGTGGAGGTCAAGGTCAGTGGGAGCCCTCTGAGCTTCTCTCCCTGTGGGAAATCCCAGCAACACCCGGAGTGAGGGAGGAGTAGAGACCATCATGTAGGATGTCCACCAATGACTTCAAACTCTACACTCAAGATTGGGAAGCCTTGACCTACTGAGTCAAGCTACTCTCCTGGGAAGCATGGGAGGGGCAGCAAATTAGACTTCCCCCAGGTCTTCCTGTTCTGCCTAGAAGGGCAGTAGCCACTCCTAGCTTCTCAAACACCAATTTATACCCACTTAGCTCTTCTGCACCTCTCCATAAAGTGCCTTCCATTTGATTATTACCTGCTTGTTAGAATTGCAGTACATATCTGAGATTTTTCTATAAATACTACTTTTACACAGTCATCAAGCAGAGGTTTTAGTCTCTTGGGGGGGGCACGGAATATTTTAAAAATTGGGTATCACATCTTTAATGGAATCAACATTTAGTCTACAAATTATTTTGAATTTTTCAAAGTGGCAGTATGTGGAGTGAAAGAAGTCCTGGCTGGGGGACCACAGAACCAGGCTTGCTTCTTTCTGTGTAACTGAGCTGCACAAACTCTGAGGAGCTCTCAGCACTGACCTCAGTTTCCTCAGGAGAAAATGACAGTTTGTGCTGTCAAATATCCCTGACACTAAAGTTTGATGATTTAAACTTCATTCATATTTTCACGTGTATTGTACTGTTCTTTAAAATCACCTTAGGGCTAGCGTCTCATTTTCTTTAGTGAGCCAACCTCCTGGTCCTTTCTCTAGTTTTTAAAATCTTCAGTCTTTACAGATGCTTTGGGATGACTCAGTAAGAGACATGAGAAGGCTTATGATGTACTCTCACGACTCAGGGACCTCGCTCAGCTGGGCCAGCAGCAGGGCCCTCAGCTGGGTATCATTCAAGGAGGAAATGCCAACCTAAACCTGCATCTTGGCCTTTGCCTTTTTCTTTCATAAGTGCTATACGCCCACATGCCAGCTCTTTGGGTTACTTTTTAGCTTACCTTCTAATAGTCTTCAAAAATCAGCTCAACTGTAATTTTCTCTGGATGCCTTCTCTGAACATCTTGATGGGGGGGGCGGGTTGTAAGGAGCTGGATTACACAATTACAGAGGCTGCCAAATTCGAAGTCTGCAGAGTGGGCTGGCAGCCTGAGGCCTGGGAATGGCCTAATTTCCTCTCTGCTGAGGGAGGCTCATCCTTCCAATTGAGGCTTCCAACTGACCGAGTGAAGGCCAAACACAGAACAGAGGGTGACCTGCTTCACACAAAAGTCTACTGATGTAAATATTAACCTCATTTTAAAATACCTTCAAAAACAATCTGGAATACCATTTAAGCAAACATCTGAATACTGTGGGCCAGCCAAGGCGACATGTAGAATTAGTCATCTGGATGCTCTTGGCATCTTTTTGAATACATGCTCCTGGTTTTCCATTTCTCCTGAACTGAGTGTCCTCTGTTTTCATTTTTTCCACATCTTAATTCATTTAAAAAAATTTATATGGAAGTTCTCTTCTGCGACATATTTTTCCGTGAACCTTGTTTTGGCTTTTTTTTTTTTTGGTACTGGGGATCGAGCTCAGGTCCTTGCGCTTATGCAGCAGGCAGCTAAACCACTGAGCTAAATCCCCGGCCTGAACCTTGTTATTTTGTTGCTACTCTACTCTCTGCTAGTCTAAGGGGCGCTGGCTATTAACAATTTCCTGCTGCCTCCTCCCTGCCTTTTTTAAGATCTCTTTACTAAGCAATCATGATGTCACACATTCAGGCTAGTAAAGCATCAACGATTCCTTGAATCGCCTGTTTTGGCTCTCTGTGCTTGCTCGTTTTCCTTCTTTTCAAACAATTGTGGTCATGGTGTGGCGGGAAAGCAACTAAGCATCAGGACCTCCTACATTTTTGTATCAAACTGGAATAGAGTTTACTCTAAAAATATTAATTTATCTGAACATTTAGAATCAATGATAGTAACTGATAAAGCTAAGTAGTTTTTTTAAAGGACATAAAAATGTATTTGCAAAATGACTCTCATTTTGTTCCCCACAAAACATGTACATAGGACTGTAGGTGTATAAACCTGATGGTAGACTACGGCTGCTTTCTGCATTTTCTAAAGTTTCTTTATGCACATAATACAGAAAAGTTACTATAAAAGATCAAACATTTCCTTTATTTATCTCCCTAGTTCATCAGACTCTCGTGTTTTCATCCTAAGAGGTACTCATAATCATTAACAATCTGATGTATGTCCTTTTACCCAATTTACACACACATACACATAGAGAGCTCTTTTCTACAAACACAAGACCGTATCTGATATAGTCATCATTCTAAACTTTGACTTTTTTCTTTATAAAAGGTCTCCAAACTTCATGGGAGCATGTCCATGTCTACTACCCGGCTGTGAACACTCCCATAGCTAAAGCCATAATTTAAGGGAAGGAAACTGACACTTCCCCTAAATTTTGTATTTTTTGCTACTGACACTTGTGCGAAGAGCATTCCGAAAAACAAACAGTTAAATGAACTGTTTGAACCACTCTTAAAACGCAGGTCCTCTCACTACCTCATCGGGCGTGGTGTGTGCACGCTGGACGCTTCCTTCCCACCCCAGCACACACCTGGTCCCTGGCCCCGGAAGACGGGCACTTGCGCGGCCCTGAGGCCTTCTGACCAGCTGCCCGGGCCTCAGAGCCTCGGGGACTCGTTCGCGCCCTCGGGTGCAGAGGGCGTGGCGGCGTCCCTGAGCTCCCGCGCCGGGCGGCTACATCGGAACCACGTGGCCAGGACTGGGTACACCGCCCCGCGCGCCCCCGGTGAACTTGGCCCCGCCCCCGCCCCCGCGCCTCCCCGTTCCGCGCGCCTCCAACACCGCCCCGGCCCCGCGCTCCTCTCGCTCGCGCCGAGCAGGTAAACTTCCCGAGGCGCGCTCTGGCTCGCGCCTCCCGGGGGCCTTAGGTGGCTCCGCTGCCCCCGGGCGTCCTGAAAGTGTCCCGGCCGTCCAGATTTTTTAGAGCGGGTGGCAGCAGCAGTTTAGCAAATGCAGGGTGTGTGTGCTGACCTTCCCTGCCAGGCGTGGTGAAGCACGCCTGCAATCCCAGCGCTCCGGGAGGCCGAGTTGGGAGGACGAGTTGGGAGGACCACAAATTCAAGCCCAGGCTGGACAATTTAGCGATTTAGAGAGACCCTGGAGGGGAAGGAGTGATCTGTGAAAGTTTAGACCAGTGTAAGGCGTAATAGCAGAGGGAGGGTAGGGCGATAAGGATGTGTGTGTGTGAAAGTGAAACAGAATTTCCATGAAAAAACGCCTGTCGTTTTCTTCCACCCAGCTCGAAAACTCACAAAGCCACTTGCACTACACATTGAGGTGGAGCCAGAGAGGAAGCTGAAGTGTGTGTGTGTGTGTGTGTGAGAGAGAGAGAGAGAGAGAGATGTAAGGAGTATCTACATCTTCTTCCCCCTCTCCTAGCCAGTTAACAGGTAGGAAAATAGAGCTTTAGGGTCGATGGTTTGTTTACAGTCAGACAACTAATTTGTGGCGGTCAGGTGTAGAGGTGTGGTAGTTTAGAATTCCATCTGCTAAATGATGCTATACAGATAGCCTTAAGCTCAGCAAGATCAGGAACTGGGTATTGGAATGCGGAGTCCATCTTCGTGGGTTACTGCAGGAGCTTGCCAGCCTATGGTCCCAGGGCAATACAGCTGGAGAGACTCCAGAAGCAATAGGACTTGCACCAAACCCAGAGGAAATAGGGTTAAGACAAGGAGGGGGGGAGGGGGCGGGGGTCAGTTGTTTGGGAAAGAACTGAGCTGAGGGGAGAGTAAGGTGTTCATCTGCTCCCTGAAAGTGTAAGAGGGCTTGATCTGAAGCCACGAGGAACAGGGCACGGTGGGAACTGGCTGAAGGCGAAGGCTCTTGGGAAATGCATCTGTGGGGAAGCCCACCCTTTACCAGGGCCAAGACCACAGTACTCTATGACTTTATTTATTTATTTATTTTGGTACCTGGGATCAAACTCGGGTCCTTGTCCTTGCGCAGCAGGCGGCGAAACCACTGAGCTAAATCCCCGGCCCAAGACCACCGTAATCTAGAGCTCTGTCATTCAGAAGAAAAACAAGATCTAAATATTACAGTTGAAAGGAAGGTTGTGGGGAGGAAGTATTCTAGTTCAATAACAGACTATTTTCCCAGATTATGCGTGAATAATAAAAATCATTACAAAAACAGTCCTTATTATGTGCCTGCACTATTGTGTTTTATGAAAGTCAATTCATTTATTCCTCACAACAATCCATTTTAAGCACTTGTTAACACGCACAAGGTCTTGGGTTCAGGCCCAAACACTGGAAAAGAAAAAAGAGGACATCATTGCCATTTTACAAGTGGGAAGGCTGAGGAACCAGGAGCTTGCTCAAGGGCTGAGGCCGAGTGGAGTAACACCAAACACTCTGGCCCAGAATCAGAAGATTCAGACCCTAGGGCCTTCACTTTCTGGTTGTACTAACTGCAGTTTCTTTATCTATGAAATGTACACTGCAGTCCCTGCCTGCTGCTGAAACAGCAAATATGCAGGTGCTTTGCAAAATGCATTGTGATTACCAGTAGAAAGTGTTATTGTTTATATAAAAGAGGGGTGCACTTCCAAGGCCAAACCTCAACTACAAAGAAAAAATGATGGGTTTGGACTGACTTGCAGATTTTAATGGGTTTACCACTTACTGAGAAGCAAAAACAAAGTCATGCTTAAAATCATGGCCTTTGGAGTCTAGGAGACTTAGTTTGGAATCCTAGCTCAACCACTTGTGGGCTCTGTGCCTTGAGATGTGTTTTAAAATGTAGTGAATGTTTAAATTTAAAAAATTTTTATTTCAGTAAAAGACACATTGTCATTCGTGTCCCTCAAAATACTCTTTACTAACACATTTACTCCATTTTTGCCACTTTCTGAAGCAGTTCTGGAAATCTTCTTTTGTGAATGTCTTTAGTTATGCTGTCATGGCTGCCTTGATATCCTGAGTCGATTCAAAATGTTTACTTTTCATGGTCATTTTGCCTTTGGGGGAGAGGCAGAAGTTGCATGGTGCCAGATCCAGCAAATAGGGTAGATGACACTGTAATGTTTTTACAAGCTTGCCTTTCCACTGAATAGCATTTGGCAGGTGCATTCACCATATTTTTGAGCATACCTCATAAAGATACTCACAAAAGAGTACTTCCAGAACTGTTTCAGGAAGTGGCAACAACCATGGGATAAGTGTGTTTGAAGTGAGGCTGTATTTTAAGGAAGATTAATGGCAATATGTCTTTTACTGTAATAAAATTTTAAAAATCTAAACAATGTATTTTTTGATCAAAACTCATATATCTGAACCTGGATTATCTTTATGATCCTCATTTTGCTCATATATAAGATGGGCCTAATAATCCATTCCTCATAGAGCAGTTGTGGGAATTAAATGAGATTCACTAAATACCGTGCCCACAAGTAGTGAGTGCTCAGTATGATGCAGATGGAGCTCCTGGTTTTTTGCTAATTCTTCTTCCTCCCTCTTTCTTCAGTTGTCTTAGTTGCCCCCAGACAGCCCCCATGGAGCCCAGAATGTGTGGCGGACTGGTGGAGAGGTATGTGGCTGCCATGGTGCTGAGTGGAGCTGGAGATGCCCTGGGGTTCTTCAACAGGAAGTGGGAGTTCCTGCAGGATGGGGAGAGGATACACCAGCAGCTGGCAGAGCTGGGCGGCTTGGATGCCATCAATGTGGAGTGCTGGAGGGTCAGCGACGACACAGTGATGCACCTGGCCACAGCAGAGGCCCTTCTGCAAGCCGGGAAAGGTCCCTGCCTGGCTCGGCTGTACTCAATTCTTGCTAAGCATTACCAAGACTGCATGGAGGACATGGTCGGCCGGGCACCAGGTGAGCACAGCCTGGGGAGGGTAGGCAGGTGGAGAGTGACACGGGCCCAAGGAAATCATCAAGAATGTTTATGGACATTTAAATTTCAAGGAAACACTAGTGTTCGTAGTTGTGATAAAAATAGAAACAGCCTCAATGTTCATCACTATACTTAATTATAGTGACACATTGGAAACTGTGTAAAATTATACAGGTGAATATTACTGATGTGGGAAGGTATGCAGTAGGTGAAAAAGCAGATAGATTTCAAAACAGTATGTATGTTATAAACCCAGTGTCACTTAAAATACAAATATGTACCTCTATGTTGGGAGAATTCTACAAGAATATACACAGGCCGGGGATTTAGCTCAGTGGTGCCGCCGCCTGCCTCGCAAGCACAAGGTCCCAAGTTTGGTCCCTGGTACCAAAAAAAAAAAAAAGAATATACACAAAAATGTTGATAATTATATGTAGATGATTAGCGTATTTATAGTTTCTTATTTTCCTTTTATTTGTTTGTATTTTCTAGTTGGTAATGAACAGGTATAAAGAAAGCATTTTTTAAAAAAAGAAAAAACAGGATGAGCTGGGAATAGTGGCACATGCCTATAACACCCACTCTGGGAGGCTGGGGCAGGAGGATCGCAAGGCAAACCCAGCCTGGGCAACTTAGCAACTTAGTGAGGTACTGTCTCAAAATAAAAATAAAAAAGGGCTGTAGATGTATCTCAATGCAAAGGCCCTGGATTCATTCTCCAGTACCAAAAAAGAAAGAATGAAATGAAGGAAGGTGGGAAGGGAGGGAGGGAGGGAAGAAGAGGGTCTTGTAGATACTCCTTTTCTGACCCTGGGTCTGCTCACAGTTGGCTCTTGCCCACTTGGGAACTTCTTACTGTCCCTCCAGCCACCAGGTGATTTGGTCACCCTTCCCTGCCCATCAGACCAACCTTTCACCTAGATTAGTCTGTTACTGTAACAAAACGTTGTAGCCTGGGTGGCTTCACCAACTGCCATTTGTTTTCTCACAGTTCTGGTTTTTGAAAGCCTGAGTCCACACGTTAGCGGCTTTGGTTTCTTCCAAACCCTGTCTTCCTGGCTTGCAGGTGGCCACCTTCCAGTGCTGTCCTCATGTTTTGCTTGTGTGTGTGTGTGTGCGCGTGCGTGCACGCCCGCTCGCTCGCACCTTCTTGGTGGCTCTCTGTCCCCATCCCTCATATCACAAGTCAGATTGGATAAGGCCTCACCCCGATGGCCTCTCATAACCCCAAGGAAGCCAATTTCTGCCCACCCTTTCTTAACATCTGATTACATGTCCTCGGTTTGGCACCTAGAAAGCTTTCTCCACCTGTGCCTTCTGTGGACATTGTTATGAATAAACTAACCCAGTAGGGAGCAGTAATGCCCGCAGCATGCTGCGTCATTGCTTGTGTGTGAGCATGCTTGTGTGTGTGTGTGTGTGTGTGTGTGTGTGTGTGTGTGCGCGCGCAGCTCCCTGATACAAAGGCTCAGTGGGACTCACGTAGGAGTAGCCGAGGTTCACAGCTCCTCACCTGAGTCCAGGGCTTCACTCTAGACTTCTAATATCCAGGAACTCCATTAACCAGCTTCTTATTGTACTTTTTAAGGGCTTGGCTTTGGGCTTTGGAGTCTGACTTATTTTTACCAGGGCACTAACTAGCTGGTTATGTGACCTTAAGCACATTTCTTAAACTCTGAACCTTCTCTTATTCATTTAAAAAAGAGAGTAATACATTGTATTTCCCTTTCTGTGTTTTTGTGGTGTCTCTGTAATAAGTGGTAAAGAGTCCATGTGTCTCTCTTCTGTATTTTAAAGAAATGTCATCATGCTATGGATGAAATATAAAGGAAGGCACATTGTTGGATTGAGGTTTGGAGTTTATAGGCATTATAATCAATATTTGCTTGGCTTTCCCTTTCTGTCAGAGAAATTTGGAGACACAGTGTAGTTCTTTCTTCCAGCTGTGGCTTCTGCTTTAGTGACCCTGACCCCCACCCCACCCCTGCCCCACCTCTTTTCCAGGTAAGACCTCAGTGCACAACAGCATGAGGCTGGAGCCGGACAAGGCCAATGGCTGGAGGATTCCCTTTAACAATAATGAGGGTGGCTGCGGGGCTGCCATGCGGGCCATGTGCATTGGTCTCAGGTTTCCTCACCTCAGCCAGCTGGACACACTGATCCAAGTGAGCATCGAGAGCGGCCGGATGACCCACCACCACCCAACAGGCTACTTGGGCGCCCTTGTGTCTGCTCTTTTTACAGCCTATGCTGTGAATGGCAGACCACCCTGGGAATGGGGAAAAGGACTGATGGAGGTACTGCCAGAAGCTAAAAAGTACATTGTCCAATCAGGCTACTTTGTAGAGGAGAACCTTCAACACTGGTGAGTGTGCAGGTGCCCGCCCTGCTGGACTGAGGTGAATCTGTGTGTGCAAATTCATTATGCACATGTGCCTGGGATTCAGAGATGGCAGCAGCCACTTGAGTTCTCACCACCCAGCCCCTCCCTGCCCACTGCTGAGGATCTCGAGTTCCCCTCCAGCCGTGGTTGCCTCCAAGTAACCAAATGGAGCCCAATGAATAGTGTAGCTGCAGTGCCTCCCTGCCATGGCGGGATCCTGTTTTGTGCTCCAGCTTTCTGTAATTTGGGGCCATTCTATGCTGTGTTCCCAGATGAACTTTCTCAGTTATTTCCTCCTTCCGTAGAACTAGTTTTTCCAGGATTGTCTTGACATACAAATACTGTTTTGAAATCCTTGCTTAGAATGCCTTAGAGATAGATTTTTCCATTAGCTAATTAATAAGCAGCAAGGCCACATCTTCCACTTTTGGTGAGTTTACTTCACATTCTCTTTCTCAGAGAATGCCAAGAGGCTTTCTGCTGAAATCATCCTTGGCTGTGAGGTGCTAAACTTTCCCCTAGAAAGATAACACTTGACACCACTCTCAACCTAGGAAAAATAAACCTTTATTTCCTACCCTTTAGCTTGATATGTATGTTCTTTACTTAGCAACCAGGTCACTGTTTGTGTAGATGCTTTGCAAATATTTATTAAATGCATGGAACTTAGATCTAATTTTGATGTTTGTGTGTGCAGTTTATGGTAATCAGTCTATGAAGTTGAAGTCACCATGGAATTTTCTGTTTTCCTACATCCACCTGGTACTTTTCCTTATGGCTTTTGACTTAGTTTTTCAATTCACTATATATTTTCCTTTCCTGTAGGTCCTACTTCCAAAATCAGTGGGAAAAGTACCTGAAACTTAGAGGGATTTTGGATGGCAAGTCTGCCCCTGTCTTCCCCCAGCCTTTTGATGTGAAGGAGAGGGATCAGTTCTACACTTCCCTGAGCTACTCTGGCTGGGGCGGTAGCAGTGGACACGATGCCCCCATGATCGCCTATGATGCCATCCTCGCTGCAGGGGACTCATGGAAGGAGCTCGCCCACCGCGCCTTTTTCCATGGTGGGGACAGTGACTCCACTGCAACCATTGCTGGCTCCTGGTGGGGGGTTTTGCATGGCTTTAAAGGAGTGAGTCCTTCTAACTATGAGAAACTAGAATACAGAGAGCGGCTGGAAAAGACCGCGAGGGCTTTGTATTCTCTTGGGTCAAATGAAGACACTGTGATCAGCTTTTAGGGAGATAAGAGGTTCATTTCTCATGGTTTGTTCTTTCACGTAGTCTCTTTTCTGCTCAGTTTCTTTTCACTTTTTCTAAAGTCAAGAATCTTAACGATGTACTGAGGGAGTTTTGAGATTAAAAAGTCCCCCAAGGCAACTTGAGCTCACTTTTTCCATACTCATCCTGTTCTCCCTGAATTGATCTCTCTTTGTGTAATGAAGAGTCTTTTATCTTTATTGATGGGGCCAGTGTCTCCCAAGCTAGAAATCTCATAGCCTCATATTTGATAGTTCTGAAAGTTTTTTCTTTCCTGATTTACTTCAGTTGAGTCTCCCACCCCCACCCCTTCCCCAAGTGTACTCGATGACAAGGATTTGAGTGCAAGGAGTTAATTTGGGAGGTGATTCTAGGAAGCACCAGTAGGAGAATGGGGGAAGTGAGACTTCAAGGAAAGGGAGCAACACAGGGTGTGTGAATGAGCAGGTTTCCAGTGGAGCAGCTGGGGTGCAGTCCCCTGCCTAAGACAGTCCTCAGAATTGTCCCACCTAAAAGCAAGTGACCCGAAGTATTTACCTACTGACTTCCATCCTACATTGGTTGAAGACCATTCCTAAGGATGCTCACTCCCTGGTACTTGGCTTGCCTTTGGTGAAAACCAAATATGAATGTCTTGAGATAAAGACTCAGAGATGCTCACAAGGGCAAGCTGTAAGATGTCTGGGCACGGTGAGGGATACACACAGCATCTACTAGGTTATTCTACCTCTTAACATACTTTAAATTTATCACCTCTTTCACTTTGTTGCACTGAATATTTTTCATCTGGATTTCTGAAATCCAAGCTATGCAAGCCCAGCTGGTTGCTATTCCTGGCTGTTCTCAGGGCTTCCCTCATCATGTCCCCTAATGTGTTACCCTTTTGTTATTGTCCATTTGGTTGTCTTCTCCAGGCAGAACCTAGCAAGGTGCATGGGCACACAGTGGACGCCTGATCACTATGTACTAAGTGAATGTTGCTAACCAAACTCCTGTCTGGTCCTTCCCTCAGAGTTGTCTTCACAAATAACAAATTATCAGATTCCAGTGAGTACACTGGCCCCTTTCTTCATTTCTTGATGCTCTTCTCTTTCTTTTCCCACCTGGTAAATTCTTACTTATCCTTCCAGACCCAATTCAGGCAAAACCTGCCAGGTGAACCTTCTCTGATTATCCAGGCTTTTTTCAATACAATCACAGAACTACAACTCCCATGATTCTCCTTTAGGGCCCTGGTTTTCAGCTGGGGCGAGAGGAGGTCTGATAACAGCACCCCAGTGACCTCCTAGTTAGTCCCACGGGGATTGTTTTCCTGGGTCTCTGTAAGATACAGTGCAGGAGGTGTAAGAGGTTAGGTCTGGGGGGAAGGGATGTCTTAGCATCTGTTTTCTGGTGTAATGCTTCAGCCACAATGGGAGACAGCAGGAAAAGACTGTACAGATTCTATTATATTTGTTTGCTGATTTTCACTCTTCATCACAGGCACATTTTTAAAAGTTTAGACTTTCAGACTCCTTTTGCTCAAACTGCAAAGCCTCCTCTTAAGGGAGGTTAATGGGGGGTGGTTAGATAGGATAAAAATGTTTTGAATTCCACCCAAATGTGAAACTAAGGAGGAAGACAGGGCAAGGAGGTATTGGGTGGGTGAAAATTATCAAAGTATATTATGTACATGTATGAATCTGCCAAAGTGAAACCTATTAACCTGTGTAACCAATGAGTACTAATAAAAAATGTGGGAAAAATCCTCTTTCCAAAACTTTGCCCTCAAATGGTGACCTTTCATCACAGTTATTAGAGAAAATAGAAGCAATAGAAGAGAACAATTGATTTCCCCACCATCATCACTTCTGCCTGTGTGCTAGAGGGTGATTATGTGTGTGTGTCTGTGTGTTTTGTAAGACCTCTGTCCTTACCAAACGCTCCGAAGAGCTAACTATAGTGAAGCACACCCAGGGATCCCAGTGGTGCTTCCAGAATGTAAGGCCAAGGTCCATACGAGATGCTCCAAGGAGCTGAAGTGGAGCACACCCAGGGATATCCCAGCGGTGCCTCCAGAATGTAAGGCCAAGGGCCTTACCAGATGCGCCAAGGAGCTGAGTGGAGCACATCCGGGGATATCCCAGCAGTTCCTCCAGAATGTAAGACCAAGGGCCTTACCAAATGCTCCAAGGAGCTGAAGTGGAGCACACCCGGGGATCCCAGCGGTGCCTCCAGAATGTAAGACCAAGGGCCTTACCAAATGCTCCAAGGAGCTGAAGTGGAGCACACCCGGGGATCCCAGCGGTGCCTCCAGAATGTAAGACCAAAGGCCTTACCAAATGCTCCAAGGAGCTGACTGCAGTGAAGAACACCCAGGAAGGATCACACCGGACAAGTTGGAAAGTGAAACAGACCTTAGTCTGGCCAGACGGCACTCCCAAAGCAAAGTAGCTTAGAGAGGCGTAGTCCAGAGGCGGAGGCTCTTTTTATAGGGGCTTGCAGGGGAGTTAACAGGCGAAATTTACAGAAGAAGGAACAAAGGTTTACTGGTTTTACATTTGTATGTTAATTAGCCTGACATGTACTGTTAGTCAGCAGATGCTTTGTAGATTGGTCTATAGATAGTGGTGTCCCGAACAAAGGGTTGGATAATTATGACTGATAGGGATCTTATCTAGTGTCCCAGAACTAAGAAGCATCTTTATCTATTTACTCACATTCAATCACAGGTGGGGCTAGGGGAGTTTTATGATTACAGAGTTATGCAGTCTTACAGTGTGTGTGTGTGTGTGAGAGAGAGAGAGAGGATGAACAATGAAAGACATTACACTTATTTATATGCATAATGTTAGAGTAAATCAATACAAGTTGCCTCATAAATAGTACACATTTGTTGTGGTGATCAATTTGTGCACTGAGAAAGAATAGGCCACATGTACCATTATAGGGACTGAGGATACGTTTTTTGGCCTGCTGTGTGATAGTGCTTTTTTTTTTTTTGGTTACCTGAGATTGCTAGATGTTCTCTACAAGTAGGGTACAGGGAAAGGGGGACGTTATCAGAACTTCTGTAGTGAGTCCTAGTCTCCTTTGAGCCATGACAGCACAAGGCAAATTAATGAATTAAGACAGAAAATGAGATTTAGAGAAGGAGTTGAGCTGTGGGCCTGATCAGTGCTGCTCTGGGCAGTAAAGAAAAAAGTCCCGAGCCCGCTGCAGACAGGCAGGTCTGTGCACGCCCTACCGAGGTCCTGAGTCACATGGAAGACACCGAATCACCCCACTGCAGACAGGCAGCCACCTGATT